CATTTAATTCCCATTAAGTATCATTTGTCATTGCTTATTTCATTAAGTGTCCCTAAATTGAGCATTTGCTTGTGTCCTGGTGTAGCTACAATAATAAGAGTGTGTGAATATTAATTCATCTCCTGTTCTCACTCTCTTGGTTTAAGCGGGTGGAGAGTTTTTCTTCAGCTTGTGAAGAAATTACTGTGGCCTCTTGTTGGGATTGGTTTTTCTCCTGTGGTATGAGTCAGGAATATTCATTTTATGAAGTCCTTTAATTTGACTAAAATAGACTGTGAGTGATTCCCAAATTCCACTGAAGCAGTGGTTGTGTGGGCTTAGCCAAGTCTTGTGCTTGCTCAGGGCTTCCATTGCTCTCCACACTCTCCTTATGCACGTCCACACTGCATTCATGCACGTGTTTCCTTGAAATTTTGCATAAATATTTAACAGCATACTAATTACTCATAGAGCTTCAAGGAAGATTTCTCTCTAAACGTTAAGTAGGTCTCTTGTTACAAGACTGTGCCTGTGATGTAAAGAGAACTGGAATTTGCAGCACAGCTTTTTTGTACCCAAAGCTGCACGGTGCCAACAGCCACTGTTTTATGTTGCAGAAGTTTGCATCTGTTTGTAGAACTTAGGTATTTAGCAAAAAGAGTAGTGAAGCTGAAACTGCGTGGGATACATTTAATTATGGGGGTTTTTTACAAAAAAATTAGTAATTGTTTCTGGAGTACCACAGATGGAAACCTCGAATGCATTTCAAAGCTGGTTCATCTTAATTCAGTAAAAGAACAGAATAATTTGTCTTTCAATTGTGAATTGACTTTTCTCATCTCTGCTAGTGTTATGTGGGCAGGTACAAAAAGTTATCCAGATGCTAATTGAAACAGCTGCAATGCTGTTTACAAAAATATTCTAATTGGAACCCTGCACTGACCTAAAATCAGAGCATGCTGTCACAGAAGTTCTCACAGAACAGTGGAGGTGGGAGGACACCTCTGAGATCATCCTGTCAAACTGTTCTGCTGAAAGCAGAGTCACCTTGAGCTGGTTGCCCAGGACCATATCCAGTCACATTTTGAGTATCTCTGAGGCTGGAAACTCCTCAACCTCTCTATACAGTTTGTTCCAGTATTTGATAACCCTCAGGGTGAAGAAGTTTTTTCTTATGTTTGAATGGAATTTGTTGGGTTTCATTTTGTGCCCATTGCCTCCCATCCTTTGGGGACCACTGAAAGGAGCCTGTTTCCTTCCTTCTTTGTACCTTCCCTTGAGGTGTAGATGAGGTCCCCCTGAAGCCTCTCTTCTCCAGGCTGAACAGACAGAGCTTTCTGACCTGGCTTGTGTGTGAGGTGCCCCATCCCTGAGTCTTTGTGGCCCATTGTTGGACCCTCTCCTGTTCATCCATGTCTGTCCCGTCCTGGGGAGCCCTGAACTGAGCTGAGCATTCCTCATGTGCCTCTCCAGTGCTGGCTGGAGGGGGAGCATCACCTCCCTCGGCCTGCTGACGGTGCTCTCCCAGTGCAGCCCAGCACTGCCTTCCTTGCTCAAGGGTGCTCTGCTGGCTCATGCTCAGCTCAGCGCCCACCAGGACCCCCAAACCCTTTCCTGCCACAGTGCTTCCCAGTCTTTTGGCTGCCAGCATGTTTTGGGGCATGGGGACGTTCTTTTCCAGGGAAGGGTCCTGCATTTCTTTGTGAACATCAGCAGTAAGCTTGAAGAGGAATTAATAATGGCAAACAGTTATGTTGCAGATTACAATGCAATTCTCTCACTGATCAGGGAAAAGAGATGATTGTTGGATAATTTTTACCTAAAATACCTGTATAAAATTCTGTGCTTTCTCAGAATGTGCAAATGGGTCATATATAAATATTTTCATGGAAGAAATTATGTTGAACTGCTTGGGTTATGTAGTCCCTCTGAGCTGTGTATTAGGAGTTATTCCATTATTGCACTAATTGACTGCAAAACCATTGCTCAACACCAAGTCATTAAGTCTATCAAGATCTTTTGTCTCTGTTTAGATATCTGGCTGTTTCAAGTACTTTGCATTACTCCACCAACCAGCATCCTTTAATTATTTTATGAAATTAGGCTTCTGCTAGAATGGAAGCTTACTTCTGGGGTGATTATAAAACTGATGCCTTAGAATAAATGCGCAGTAAAGCTTTTTTTTTTCTTCCAGGAAATTTTAGATTAGAAATCCCTGAGCATTCTCTGTTGCAATTAAGCTTTATCCAGCTGTTGCTGATACTTCCTAGTAACTAGTTAGCTGGTTTTTATCTGTGTTACTGAAATTGGAATATTGTGGTCATTTAAGAACTGATCCTGAGCAGTGGAGCAAAAGTTGATTTCTTTTGATTTGTCTGGACTTTATTTTTAAAAAAAGTAAGCTTTATAAAGCTTTGTGGCACTTTGCTGTAGAAATCCAAAGGGCTTTGTTGCTTTCAAAGGAGGGCAGAATACAATGCCAACGTCAGTGCTGCAGGCACTGGGGATGAGGCTTGCTCAGCATGCTCTGGGAGGGCACCTCAGCTGCAAATTAGAGAGAATACCTGGGGATCAAATGTTTGTGCCTGCTCTTTCCTTAGCTCTCTCTGTGCCAACTTTAAAGCATTTACTTTTCAGTTGATGCCCTGAACCTGCATCTTGTAGTTGTAGAATACAATAAGAAGTAAATGTTGCTGCTTTGGTCATTAAACAACTTGTGACCCAGCTAGAATGCTAGAGTCAAAGTGATTGTATTTCATGTGTGTGTTCTTATTGCATATTTTGACACTAGCTTACTTCTGTTCATCTGCTAATCCAAATGAAAATTATTTGAGAATGTTTTAGCAATCCTGCTCTAAACCAGCTGATTTTTACTTAGTTATGGGCTGAACCTTGAAAGCATTGAGGGCAGAATGGTAAAGTTTAGGCAATTTCAGAAAGAAAAACAGCACCAAAAGATCTTGGCATTATTAATCATTTTCAATCAATGATTTTCAAATTATTTATTCTTTGCTGATCTAAGTATGATGTGAAAAAAGTCTCATTTCAGACATATACAAAACACTTAAGTTTCCCAACTTTAGCAAGTATCTGAAATCTGCTAGAGAAGAGTTTGTGTATGCAACAGGCATGGAAGATGTTGGAGTCACCAGTTTCTAAAAGAAACAAAACAAAAACAAAAAACACTGAACAAAAGGGAAAAAAACCCACAACAAAACCACTAAAAACCCCTGCCAGTATGCTTTTTTCCCCCCTTATCTGTCTTATATTAAAGAGCATAGAAAAGGAGGATGGCTGTCTTGCACAGAAATGTTTACACATGCTAACTGAATTATCATGTGGTTTGTTTGTGTTCTGTTGGCTTTAGGTGACCCAGTTAATACAGAGTTATCCATAGGGGTGGGAGGAGATTCGTGCTACAGAGGGAGGCCTGTGACTAAATCAGGAAAGCTTAAGCTTGATTAAATAACCCATTGCTGCTCTCCTTCCCCATCACTTGGCAGCTCCTCCAATGAACCACTGTCACAGTTCTAGGTCAGTGAGGCTCTGTGAGCTCCACAGTCTGGGCATATGGACAGCCCCACAGGCTGGTTCTGCCTCTCCCTGCCTCCTTGCCGTTTCTTCCTAGTAATGGCTTTTTTTAATACATTGGTTTTGCAAAGAATTGCTTTATTAAAGCATTGTCTGACACTGGGGATACATTGTGGAAATGACAACTTAGAACAATTTGTGGTGTGCCATAAATCAAGTAATCCTGTGGGAGGAGCAGTTGGTGAGGTGTGGGGTAGAGGGTGGCTGCTGAGAAAGCCTGGGCAAAATCCCTGTGGAAGTGGTGAGCAGCAAGCTGAGAGCCCAGCTGGGAGCTGGGTGCCTGCTGGACCAGGGCTGTCTCCTGTGTGGCTCAGGGTTCAGAACTGACAGCATCTGATGGTGGAGGATGGCATGGAGCCTGTCAGCGCATTTGGATGGCTGTGTTTTGCTCGCTGTAGGAATCAGTGATGAACATCGGTGCTGCTGAGCAGGAGCACTGATTCACATGCCTGCCTGCTTAATAAATCAGAAAGGCCAGAGAGAGGCTGAGTTTCTGTTTTGTCTTCTTAACCAAACCAGTATCAGATGTCCCTCCAGTGCATCTCAAGTTTAGTCCTTGTTGGAGGGAGCAAGGAAAAGGCTGGGGGAGAGCTGTGAGCCAGGCCCTTGTGTTTGGGCTCAGTGACTGTAAGGAGCACCCAGCATCAAGAGAGGAAAGATGGAGATGCAGAGCAAGGCATGAGGAGCTGCCTGGGAGGTTTCTGTGCAGGCAGAACTTTCACACAACTTAACTATTGCTCTGCTTGGGCATTTATGTGCCAAGTCATTGTGGAAAAAGAGTCATGCACTCATTACTGGGTATGCACTCATTACGTGCCATTTTTGCTGGTGAAGATGTTGCTCCATATTCTGGCAGCTTTGCAGCACAAGTAATTAAAAAGAAATAGGAAAACCTAGGGATATCAAAATACATCTTCTGGTCACTGTGGCCAACTGTGAGTTCACCAATGGGTTTAATTCTGCTCTGTCTGGGTTTCAATGCCCTTGTCTCTGGGTGATTTACATTTGAAAATGAAAAAAGCGCAGAGGCAGTTTAGCTGACTTTATTTCAGCTCTGTCTTTCTCCGGGGAAATTGAGGATAGCTGGATATGTTAAGTAATGGGATGGGGGAATGCTCTCGTAACAGCACATTTTTTTTGAGCTGAAAGCTGCTCAGGTCTAAGGGAACTTTTTATTCCTGGTGTGATGTTGTTTATTTTGGTTTTAGAGTTGCCTCACTCTCAGTAGCAGACTCAGATTGATAGGAAATGTGGTTTTTCCTTTCCCAAGGCATAACAGCAGTGGAATTTCCTCTACTGTCACCTTGAAGTAAGAGAAAGGATGGATGGCTGTAAAATCAATTCTTGTGTTTCAGTACCAGATTAATAGGAATGCATTTATTACAGAGATCAATCTTGTTTAATGTTTACTTCTTTACTGTGTTTTTCAGGTGCTGCTAAATCCAGTCCAGCTTCTAAACCAGGATCAACACCTTCTCGCCCGTCTTCAGCAAAAAAAGCTACACCAAGCAGCTCAGCATCCAAATCAGATAAAGATTTGGAAACTCAAGTCATACAGCTCAGTGAACAGGTAAATTTGCTTTATGCACAAATGTAGATGCATTCATTGTCACAGGCAGGCATGAAATCTAATATTGTCTTCTGATGAATGATGCTCTTCAGAATTACGAAGGGACAAAAAGTGGAAATAGTTCAGCTGGAAAGAAATAAAAAAATGAAGAGATTTATTGTGAAAAATAATGTCTGGCAGAGATGACTGATTTTTGCCAGTATTTTTAAATTATGATTTTAGGAGTGACGGGTAAGTCTTGCTGAAGCATGGTAATTTTATTAGATGTTGAAATATATCTTTTATTTCACCTGGATAGGAAAAATCCAAGTAGTGTCTTTGCTCTTGTGTACTACTAATTTGAAATAAATCATTAAATGTGCCACTGTGGAGAAAACAAGCCTGTTTGTCATCCCAAGAGATGCATGGTGTTAAGAGATTTACAGTTAAAGTGAGACTAGAGCATTGTGCTCTGCTTTCTGTAAGGAAAGTGTTAAAGATGCTAACACACTCTTTTCATTTAAAAATGCAATCTACCTTTCTGAGAATACTTAGTTATATTATAAATAATGTTTTGTGATATAATTGAAAAAATTCAGAAATTCTGTAATGTTAGGAATGTAAGGGCTTCACTTTTGTTTATGCTCTGGAGCTTTATACCATTCTCTCATTTCTGAACTGCAAGAGTGTCTGCACTGGACAAGAATAAATACCTGCATCTGGCTTGAGACTGTGCTGTCAGAATGGTGTGAATGCCACTACTATATATATGAGGCCTGAGCCCTATATTTGTCCTGGGTGAGGGAAAATGGAAAGGAAAAAACTTGTATTTTAGAGCTCCTGGCAGCTGCATTCAGGAAGCAGTCATTATTCTGGACCAAGTATAATTTTCCACAGTTAAAGGCATTTCAGCTTCAGACTTCCATCAACCTGAGCAGCAATGATTTCAGTTTGTTGGGGCACTGTTTGCAAGTTTTTGATGAGCTGTACTCTGAAAGGTGGTGGATGGATAGCCACATCCCAGACATGGTGTTCTGTGGATTCAGGGTATCATTCTGAGCAGCAGAGAGCACAATGGGATCCTCCTGCTTTCCAAATGGGCTCTAGATTGTTGCTGAAACTGAAAAGTTTTTAAATGTTGCACAAGGAATGGATATATATTTTTTTTATGGAATCCTTTTTTTTTAATCAGTGTCGAGCAGAGTTCAAATGTCAACTTAATGCAACTTAAACCACAACATTTGTACTCAGAAGTCAGAATGTGTTTGCTTCAGGAGGAAGAGTTGGTTGGCATCTGAGCAACATAGAAACATTTGATCTTTACTGAAACAGACAGTCACTATCACATCCACTGCTAACATATTCCTAGCATGTTCCATGTGTGAAAACCTTAAGCTTTATATACAAATAACCCTGAAGGAAAACATGACTTCCCCCATCACCGAAGAGAAGAAGAAATTTTGAGGATATGAAAAACTGATTCCTTAATAGCTAGTTTTTAATAGACATCATCTAGCTAGAATGGTCTGGAAGCCTTTTTTTCTTAATGCTGACAGCATTTGGTATCTCATTTCCCACTAATGGATACTTGTAAACCGTGGCTGTGTTACACGAGCCAAAAAAGCTATGCTGCAAGCAGCTCTGAGCCAGGTTTTCCTGACCCCCAGTGTGAACATGCTGCAAGAGCCAAATTGCCTGGTTTTTACTACTCTGCAGCAGTTGTGGAGATGAGGCAGCAGCCACCATTACTGTGTTTGTGTTTCTGTGTTGATTATAAGTAAGAAGTGCTGAATTGTGTCTTGGATATCAGAGTCCTATGTGGCTCTAATTGTTTTTTCATTCCTTTCATAGATAGCAGTCGAGGGAGATGGAAACATCTGAACTTCCATGCAATTGGTAGCAGAAAATTTTAATCAGTGGGGATGTAACATGTACACTATGTTTTACCATAGTGTAGCTTAATGAGCTATTAGTAATAATTGTAAGCATCCCTAACATTTGCCAGTTAATAGCTCCCTACAATCTTAAAGTTTCATTTAAAATCATCTTCAAACTGTGCCAGTAAATTAAACTCCAAAGTTAAATTCCAAGGAGTGTCACTCTGCACTGGAACTTGATTGCCCACAGCATTGAAATTACTCTCTCCCAAAGAGTGTCTGAGTGCAGCTGAGGTGACAACACAAACCAGGGGCTGTTGCATACAGAGAGGGACTTTTACAGGTGGAGAATGGTCCCAGGAACTATTAGCTGTGTGTTGATGTACATGTAGTTTCCGAAAACAGCATCATTGTGGCTTTTTGCCTACAGTTGGGCCTAATCTGCAGCCTGGCTCTGCAGCCCTGTGAGTATTCATGCTACCAGTGAGTGCCAGCAGAGAAAAGTCCAGTCAGTAGGAACTGCTGCCTTTGCACCCATTACCTGGGCTGCAGAGGGGTGCTTTCAGTCCAGAAATAGAGCATGGGAGCTGACATGAGCTGTTCCTCAAGTGTCAGCCTTCTGGCATGCTTATGGAAGGGAAAAGTAGGATGCAGATGTGCAAAGTGTCTGAGGAAATATGGATGCACATGGCACAGACAGGTAGCTGGAGCTGAAAGGAAGCATATCTAGTTTGGTTATAGCAATGTTTACTATATACACTAGTTAATTAAGTCTGTGCATATGTTTATATAGTTTAATGATTTTGTTTCTTTAAACAGCATGAATGTGAGAGAATGAAAACAGGAGAATGTCTTCATAGTAAATAGGTCAGAAGGGGAGATAGTCTCAGCTATTAGCTGCCAGTTTTTTGGCTGAAGTTCATTGTTTTCCCAAGCTCTAGCAAGCACAGGGCAGGAGATCTGGAAGCAGTTATATTCTTATTCTGGCTGGATTCAGGCATTGCTCTCAAGCAATATGCTGTGGCAGTTCCAGAAGGCACATCCTAAGTATGAGGTCTTCATCTGTAGACCAGAATATTGTAAATTCTTGTTTCATTTTGCTATTCCTACTTTTGTAATAAAATAGTTAATTTTAAGGTGACTGGTCATTGTATCCATAATGGATTCAAACTATCAAGAAAGACTTGAGTGTCACACTTAGACAGCTGGTCAGAAATGAATTAGTGCATAAATGAGGTGCCCTGAGATCCTGTTCTGGTAACAGGTCAGTTCTGCTGCTTGATGCCTTTGAGAGTGCAATGAAAGGTCAGAAAAAGGCATCCCTTGCTCAGCAGTCATGGAAAAACAAACTGAAAGGATTTAGTAGGCTATCAAAGCATTGTTTGAACTCTCCTGGTATTTTTACTAGTGAAGAAAATAAATTAACTTGCAGTAGAACTGGCAACACAGAAGTTTCTATTAAATTGTATTAGTTCACTGAAATGTAGTCTGATATGATTTAATTTATTTAGCACGTTTTATTTAAAAAATCATTTGTATAATTGCAGGATTTAAAATGTGAGTGTTTGGTTGTAATTGGATGTGATTGTGGTCAATGTGTTTACTGTAGACAGCTTTATCTGTGATTATTTCTGTTGGTTTTTATGCTGCTGTCCTCTGAATTTCTGAATTTCTCCTGATTGCGTACACCCCATTAGACAGAAGTTTATATGTTATGCTCCCACAAAACCTCTCTTTTTAAAATATATATGAATAAAACTATATTGCAGCATCTGTTGTGATTTATCCAAAGCCTAATCATTAACAGCTACATTGCCCATGAATTATTTGCAGCAGTCCTAGTGGTGAAATTGAGGCTGACAGTGTAGCTTGAAGACTCTTGTGAACAAAGTTGCAAGGAGAAAGGTACTTGGCATTTGAGAGAATTTGTTGGTAGAAACAGCACATCAGTCAGAGCAGGTAGCCCGTGGTGCACCCAGCCATGGCAGCAGAGAGCTGAAACACAGGTTTGGAAAATGTGGTAAGCGAGGAGGCAGAACAGTAGAGGTGACAACCAGCACAGCAATAGCACATTTGTAACTTGACGACCTTTTCATTTCCTAACTAGACTATTTCCCTCCTCTGCTAGTTCAATGTATTTTTAGGCAAGGAGACATTGTAGGTTTCCCAACAACTACACATTTGTCCAGGCAAAATAATGCAAGTTCTGAGCTGAAGGTTTTAGTAATTACCACTACATGACATTTCTGGCAATCCTGTTAGGAGACATGGCTTTCCTGATTTCCTCACTGCTGCTTTGAGCTTCAGTTTAAAAGAGTGCTGAGAAAATTGAACTTTAGGGATCAAGGTTAGGATGTATCCAGAGGAGTAGTGGGGGAGCCTGATTCTCTGTGGGGTAAGGTTCAATTTAGCACTGCAGAAAGAAAACTGGACTTCATTTCAAGCTATAAAATCAAATATGTATTTAAGATTGTTTCACATACAAAATTTTAGACTGTGTTCTTTTGTCTGTAGTGCACCTCAAAACTGATGCATCATGTCTTGGTTTCTATGCAGGTACATTCATTAAAACTTGCACTTGAAGGTGTGGAGAAGGAAAGGGATTTCTACTTTGGCAAATTAAGGGAGATTGAACTTCTCTGCCAAGAACATGGGGGAGAAAATGACCTTGTCAATCGGCTAATGGAAGTCCTTTATGCTTCAGATGAACACGTAAGTTGAAGCTTAATGGGTTTTATCTCAACAAAAAAAGCTTAATTGCATAAAATTTTATTGGTGTAGTATTGGGTCATATCCTGTATTTAGAACTGCAGCTAGAATTCCTGTGACTCCTCCCCAAAAAGGAGGTTTGCATTGGAAATTGCAAACAACAGGCTTTTTAGCTTGAGGAGAGGATTCAGGAGGTTTGTTGCTTTTCACTGCTTCAGTGTAGGTTTTGTATTCTGGGTTTGCTGAGCTTTATCTAAAAGGGGAGTGTCTCTTTCTCAATTTTAAATTGATTTCATATGTTTCTGAGCCTGTATTGTTTTTTTCATCTTCCCCCTATGTGCATGAAGTCTTTTACTCATGTCCTTTAGTGTGTTGAAAATCACAAAAATTCTGGCAGAGATGCTGTTTGCTGTCTACAGCTGTGAACCTTCTCTGGCCCATGTGTTGGAATATGTATGGTGCAGGTTGCCAAGTACATAATTATATCTACAAAGATAATGCTCTTTAGCATTTTTTATCCTGTTGCTATAGGCAAAATTCTTCCTTGTGCAAACCAAATAATCCTCTATTAGCAAAATTTCAGAAGTGTATTGTCTGCAAGATTAAGCAAGAATCTCATTGCCACGTAGACTTAATGTTGCAGACACTGAACAAAGCAAGAAGCTGCAAAGGGTGCTGGTTAAATTCCTCAGAGACATTCAGGGATAATGATTCAGTGGAGATTCAGCTGAACTACTCCCATTCATGTTAACTAAATCCCTGTATGGATTGTACTGACAATTGACCCTTCAGGCACCAGTGGAGGAAGGCTTTGGCTCCAGAGTGTACAAGCACCAACTTAATCCCTTGGCAGCACTGTGGTACCATAGGCTGTTCTTACATCTGCTCCCAGAAAGCTGTTGCAGCAGCATCAGCTGACTTAGTTTTATATCAAAACTAGTGCTGGAGGAACTACTAATTCAACATACTTTGTCTAAAAGAGGCCAATGTAGGGCCTAAGTGTTTGAAAATTAGGTGCAAGAGAACCTCAAGTTTGAAGCTAACAGGTGCCACTGCTCAGATAAGAGGTGACAAGGGAAAGAGGATTTGTTCAGCAGTGCAGAGCGAGTGCTAGAGAGTAAAAGGGGGAGGAAACCATTATTTTCATAGGAATAAACAATAAGACAAATTTGCCAGGCATGTGATAACAGGGTAAAAGTGTTACATATATATAGTGGTCAGGGAAAATGTCTTCTGGATTCAAGAGCAGTGATTTATTTATAAAGCAAAGCCAGAAAAATCCCTCTTCTCCCCATACCCCTACCACATCTATCTGTCTATTGGCTTGAATAGCAGAGTGGTTCCACATCAAGGAATGCATTTGTTACTTTTCCTTCTGCAGTTTTCCTTACTGGCAGAACATATTACAAAATGTTCTACTTCAGTCCCTTTCCCAGTGTTTTATCTGCTTCTTCTCTCCAAGCCTCTCTCTGTTGAAATCATCATCTGTGCCTGCATGTGAACTACATACAACTGTGCTTTCATCTAAAATGTGGTTGCTGTTGGAGACTGGGTGTGTCACTGCAGCAGGAGGGCACTGCTCCTCCAGAGAGGAATGCAAAATTCCTCACACAATTTTTTTGCTCCTTTTGGTGGGAGACTTGATCTCCTCAGCTTAACAGATGGACTGTGACTTGCTGAGGAAAGACCCAAATGCATTAGCACTAAGCCAAAGACTGTAGCTTAGTACTGATTCAGATCCTGCCTGCTTTTTGGTTTTGGACTTCACTCTCTTATTGCCCTGCTTTGCCCTTCAGATCTGGGGTTTTTTTTTTCTCTCTGCCTCTGTAATGAATTCGTCCTAAGTTAAATTCTTTATCTTGCAGTATTTTGCAGGTTAATCCCTTGGTAAGAGCAGTTAGGCTTTCTTAGTCAGGCCATGAGGCTGTTAGGTGAATTGTGTGCAGAATGATTCAAAATGCAAGTGTAGAATTCAGTCCCTCAAAGAATCATTTCCCAGGTGTTTGATTATTGTAGTATTGCATTGAAGAGATTTTGATCAGGTTCATGTCTTGGGGTGGGAAGTGGGGTAATTATTTTTCTCAGAATTTCAGTTTATAGTGTAGTTTCAGTCATGTCACCTCCTAAGCTTCTGTTTTGCTTAATTCAATAGGAACTAATTTTGTAAGACTAAACATTTTCTTTTTTCTTTTTCTTTTTTTTTTTTTTTTTGCTTCATTTTGGTGAGTTTGAGCAGTGCAAATATCAATCCAGTTGGTTCCTTCTCTTTAGAGCCTTTCTTCTCTTTTCCCTATTATGGTTCTGCTTAAACCTCATCATTATGTCTCTGCTTAGGCAAGAAGGATATCATATCTTCTACATGTCATTTAACATTTGCCTGATCAGTCTGTAGACCTTTGTAATTTTTAATTATGAATTGGTCATCTGTAATCCTACTCCTTCATCAAAAACATCAAAGTTACCAGACAACAGTGAGGGGTGGAGAGATGTGGCCCCTGCTTTTCAAAGTCTCAGGTCACTTAGAAAAGCTTTTGCTTTCCTGCACAGGCTCTTGTGGTTCAGTTCATGTAGAAATTGGGAGAATTGCTCATGTTAGGCATCTCACTTTCTCTGCTCAGTTTCCAAGAGCAATTGCTCAACATGCAGCTGGTTTGGTGACTCTCTGCTCTAGCAGCTTCTATATCTACTGCTACTTTTGGAAAAGGCCCCCACCTCCCCAACACCAAGTTTTCATAGTCTAACTCTTCAGTCTACAGGCACACCTAAATAGCTTGAAGCAGATAGATCTAAGGTCAAAAGAGACCATCTCTCAACTAGGGAGACAGAGATGACCATGGTCATGTGGCTCAAGCCAGAAATAAATGCTCTAAATAGATCTTCCACTACTTTCCTTATTAGGGGATGCTGTTCAATGAGATTCCACAGTCCCAATGTAATTGGACTCTTATGGTTCCCATTTCATGTATTTATACAAGCTGTATATACTGAAAAACATGTCCCAAGTCTCAAAACAACTTCTGAGGTAGTTACATTATCAGGTTCACTATTTCCATCAAAGATAAACCTGGCAAAGTAGGAGCCACCACTCCTCTTCAGAGCTGTGGAGTAGATTCCACTCCCTGTGCTTAGAGGCTTTTCCCATTGTACGGATGAGAGGAAAGCACGCACATGACCCATAAAGTCTGCACAAGTGGGCTTTCTGACAGTGCATCTCATCACCCACAGGCCTGTGGAACATGTGCATTCCAGAGCAGGTCACCTCAGCACAGAAGGAGGGTCAGGACAGATGGGGTTAGGGCAGCATCACTCACTGCAGCTAAAGAAGCTTCAGTTTTCTCACCCTGCAGGGCAGGGTCACGTTCTCCCAGCTGTCAGCTCCTCCCTGTGAACCTCCTGTTCTCCTCTGCACATCCTGCACCCTTGCAGCCCATCACAGGAGCTGCAGTTTTTAGGTACAGCTCACAAAACTGTTGTGACATGATGTACCTACTGTGTGTAATAAGGGCATCATTTCCCCCAAGGGGCCAAAACGTGCTTAACTTCAGCTGTCCTGACTGATGTGTGACTTCTACCTGAAAATGGCACCTGAGTGATAGAAAGCTTGCTTTCATTTGAAATTGGGCCGTTCCAAATGTTAGGAACCTTATTCTGCTTTTGCCCTTAGATAAGTATTTTACTGCCAGAAGGGAATTAGTTTGTTTCATAAGCTGCTCTGACTATTGTGGGGAAACGAAAATGATGGCCTTCCTTTTCTTTTGATTTTGCTTCAAATTTGAAAACTTAGCAGTAGCAATTTGTTAAAGTTTGTTGTTCAAGCCACTTGCTTCTAACAAAAGTTAGGCAGCCAGGCAAGTTCTGCAGAGGTAGCCCACTGGGGATGCTGGATTTTGAATGGCAGCTCAGTGTGCTGGAAAAGTGTTTTCCTTTGGAACTGCCTAGGGCAGAGCAGTACTAATGCAGGGCAGAGCATACACGAGAAGGATCTCTTCAGTGAACCATGCTGTGGAAAGATGGAAAGCACTTGAGAGGAAAGCTGTAAATGCAGCTGTGCTTAATAGCAGTCCAGAAGGGATGCTCTAAAAGTCAGCCAGACTTTTTGAGCTCAGATAACATTGAGGTCAACTCAGGATACTAGGCCTGCTGCCTGTAATTGGAAAGTTGTTCATAACTGGTGTCACCTGCAGCGAGGATACAGCCTTTCCTTGTGTCAGGGATTCATCTTCCAGTGGGAATGTATATTCAGAGAGACGGCTTTGGATAAAACTGAGCATAAAAACAATGGGAAACGATTACTTAGTAATTAGTGCTTTTTACGGTAGCTCTATAAGTCAGTGAATACAGGGCTCTTCCCCTCAGGCTTCCCAAGAAAATGTGTTTGCAAGTCTATGGGATTGGCATGGGAAAAGTAAAAATTTTGGGAAAGTAATATGCCTGACCTCTAAAAGGAGGCTATGTTGAATTTTCCAAGCAGGTGATAGTAAAAGTGTCTTGTCCATTTAGTGATCTAAACCTTGAGAGAAGGTTGTGTGAAAACTACAGCAGACAGGTTCAGAAAACCTTGGACAAGCTGAAAATGGGCAGATATAAGGATGCTGTGGTACAGGATCTAAATGTTGGCATATCACTGTCTAACTGTTCAAAGTGTTCGTTCACTCACCAGAACAGATAACAGATAGCAATGTTGAAAGCTGACTTTTCTTCTAGGGAATTACCAGTACTGCATATGCCTCAATTAGAAGTACAGAAAGTACATTTCAATATAATTTTATGAGATGCTGCTTTCCTCAGGTAACAGCTCATTTTGTACTTCCTTGCATGAAAATTAAGTTTTATGCTACAGTGAGCACCACGGGGCAAGATTACGTGAGGAATGCTTTCTGCTGAAAAGTGTTTTGGGATCTTTTTCTCCCTACAGGAGAGCCACACAGATGAGCATGAAGGTGAAGAGCAAGTCCATGAACAGCCCCAGCAGCAGGATGAGTACTGACTCACGCAGCATCTCTGACAATTTTCGTTTTGTGTGAGAACTTTCTTCTGGAGAATGGAACGTGTGCGGCCTCAAACTTGAAATCAGTTCACTCCCAGTCTGCCATTAACATTTATGTACCATAGTGAGTGCCAGCCAACCACTGCATTCTGTACCAATACTTTGCCAAGATGCATTTGCAGGCGTCTTCTTTCAGTGTATCTTCCCAAGAGGTTGTAGGGCTACATCACCTACTGTACATCACTGCAACGTCACCACTTGGCTGCTTGAGATTTGTTCTGCTCTTTAAAAATATATATATTTATTTTTTTTCTTTTTCGTCTTAAGTATGATACACTTGTAACTTGTTCTAACATATTTATATTGGCATTTTGTGTGGCAAGGAGTTCTGTACCACTAGCTGTGTCTCTCACTTTGTGGTGCTTTTGCATTTTCTAGTACATCTGCCTTGGGGCATCGATTTGGCCAAACAGTTGAAATAAAGGGATACAGTGGATGTCATACTCAAGCCATAACGATGAGGTTGTGTTGTGGAGGAAAACGCTTGTGTTGCTCGCATTTATTCCTTTCCTGCCTTCACAAATGGAAGGCAGAGCATCTGTTTCACTGGGAGATTTAAACCCCTGTTAGGAAGCTTGTTAGAAAGCTGCATGGTATGTTTTTTGGCTGATTTCTGGAGGAACAGACATCCACCTAAGCTTTTTGAAAACCCTCCCAGTTTCCTAACTAGTCAATAGACATTTCCCAGCTTTTCTTCCTTTCTGAGGAATCCAGTCCCAGCCTCCAGCTGCAGCTCTACCTCCACAGAGCTCAGTGCTGAGGGAGGAGAGAAATCTCCTTGACACAAGTGTAGCTGCAGGACACAGTCTGTACCATCATCCTTGGCTTCCCGCTTCTCAGAAAAGGAGAAAGTAGGCCACACATTTCTTTCCACTTTCCTTCCCCCTTCCACTGCCCCAGCCATACAAGTCTAGAAGACAGAAATTTGGTCACTAGTGCAAAGTATGGGGGGAAGCAGCAACAGCACTGGCCCTGAACCGTACCCCAAACTCCCCTGTAAGTGGATGGTGGACACTTCACAAGTTTAAGGCTGCTTGTAAAGCATGGAGAAGCAGTGAGGAGTCCTCCTGGAGACAGGGCACACATTAGAGGGAGACCATTTGACTGAGGGTACAGAGCTGGTTCTGCTCTTGGCTGGCCTTCCTCCTTTAAGGCCAGTGTGGTGCAGAACCATGTGTGCGCTGGAGATTCTGCAGTGGGAGTGTTCCCTTCCGGTGTGGTCCCATGGCCCTGTTCTAAATGATGGTATTTTATAAGGAGAGGTATCTTGAAGTATAAAAAGCATTCCTTGTTCTTCTCCTACCACTGCACATTGTAGTCTCTCTGGTTATTTAATGCCTGGTATTCTTGGTCTCTCCCTTCATTTTCTGAGTTCTGGTTTGCTGTGCTGATTTAGCAGGTACGTGGAAGTCCCATGCCAATTGGCATTCACTGAAAAACTCCACAGCCTATTGGGCAGCTAAATAATTTTAGGTGTTTGTAGGCTTCTAAAGCATTAGGTCCCCAGCTGTACTTCTACAGAAAGGTTTCCAACACATCAGCCCCCAGGCACACACACATGCACATGCAGTTTTCCATTCCTAATCAATCTTCTGCAGCTAAGTGGCTCCTAGTTAAATGTGAGAACCCTGCTGTTGTATTGCACCACCAACAATATATAAAATGCTGTTGAGCACCACAACAGGTATTTCCAGTTCCTTAATCCTCCCCCTGCACAGCAGAAGAGTTTCTGGACCCTGCAGGCTGAAGTTTTCCCAGCCCTGCATCCAGTATTGACCTCACATCCTACCCAGTGATGAAATCAAACTACTGCAACCTGCAGGCCAGCGCTTTCCTCTCCCTTCTCAATTGGTTACAAATAAGGTCTAGTTTATAAAATCATGTTTTTTCCAAAGTAATTATTTCCAAGAATCACCACAAATGGGGGAATTGTCATTTTTGTTGTATTTGTGTTTATTAGAATATATGTACTTATTACAATTGTCATTGTAATAAACAGTAGTTCTTCATAATACTGTTGAAGAGCAGTTACTATTTTTTTTCCAGACTCCAGAATGTCCTTTAACCTTTATGAGATCTCTGAATGGGGCAAGGAGTTTGGGATCAGGCTATAAACTTAAATTCATCAGCGTACTGGAGTTCATCCTTCTGCCAATACTCAAGCAGGTGCATGGAGAGCACTTCAAGGGAAAACAGTTTTCTGAAGGTGCAAATGGTTGGGGTTGCTGAGCTCCCCAGACAGTTCATAGCCAGGCTGTTGTGCCTCTCTTCTTCTCTCTCTTTTGAAGCACATATGAAAAAAAAAAAATTAAAAAAAGCTGAACTTCATTTCCTGAAAATTCCTTGCATCCTGTTTCTGATCTGAGGACCATAGCCCTGTCACTGCTTGTATCAAGGGGGGAGTGACTGATGTAGGGAGCCAGGGCAGTGAAATTCTTTGGGGGCACCAGAAATGTGGCTGTGCTGAGGGGAGAGCAGTGTTCTGAAAGGGGAAAGATTTGTCCTTCCCCCCCACCCCCTGTGAGTAACCCATTATTCTGTTATGGTTTTAATATGCATTTGTAATTACCTTTACTAAATAGCACACCATAAAGCTTTGGTTATATATTAAATGTAAACTGAAAGGAATGTAAACATATGTATTGTTAATTATAAATAGATAAGTAATGGCATAATAGATACAAAAAAGTCTTATTCAGATGTATCAGTCATTTTACATTATCCACAAACTGTCGCATGATAGAGTAGATTTTTGTCTGAATATGTGAATAACTTGACTTGCGTTTATCTTTTTACATATTTAATAAAAAAATATATGTTAAAATCTGTCCAGCTCTAGAGACTATTCAGAACATTCTAAAAAAATAATTTTCTGGATCAAATGCATATTTTTGATTCATCAGGGGCTGCATATGGGAGCAGGAAGAAAAAGGCAGCTGCTTTAAAAACCCAGAAGTCCACTTATGCTGTGTGTGTGGATAGCACCTGTTTCCCCAAGAGCTCAGCAACTGTATTCCCTTTTATAAATCAAACCAGAAAATCCATGTATGCCTGTATGTGCATGTAAACAGCACATTTTTCTTTATGGTAAATGCATATTCAGATTTTGGAGTGCTAACTCCCTTGGGTATCAGTCTGAAGCAAAACTGGCAGCAGCCAGGAGGCCAAGAGAGCACTACAGAAAGGTACCCAAGCTCCCAGTGGGCTTCCTCGCAGGCCAGGTATTCAGGGATGAATCTTCAATGCAGTACCTAAAATCCACCTAGATTTTAGATTAAAGTATGAGGTTTTGTTGGGAGAGAAGGGGGAAGATTCATTGTAGTTCTCACAGCTCTGGTCTTTTGTAGCTGCAGGAGTTGCTGCTCAAATGCAGGAGTTCTGAGCCTTGGATCGGGACCCTTTTCCTCTGTGCTGAAGTGACCGTGTTGTGAGCCACCAGCCTGCACCCCACTGCTCCAGGTATCCCTGGGCCTCTGACAAAGGAGGGGAGGACAAAGCAGAGACCAGAGAAGCCATTTCCAACCCAGGTGTTCAAACCTGGGAGAGCAGCTCTTGTTTAGCTGCTTTTCGTAAGGCCAGGAGGAAGGCATCTCCTTGGGTTAGTGCAACTGCTCTGAAGCATAAAAAAAATTATATATTTTCCAATTCAGGTAGTTGAAAACCTTCTGCCATAATGTGACCCAAAAAATGTATTGTTAGACTGTTAGGTCATCTACATACCCGACTTTGCAAAATAAATCTGTGACCGTACAGCCCTATGAGCAAAAGCATTTTTCTTCCTATTCATTGAACCAGTTGTCATCTATGACAGCTAATAATTCAATAGACACACTGTGCAATACATGATCTCTTTTTATACTTGTCTTTATACAGATTGTAGTGATAAATTGCTTTAAAGAGGAAAAAGAAAGTTATTTGCCATGTTTTCATGTAGAAGGTGAAAAAACTGGCCGGAGATTAATGCCCTTTAAAAGTGATACTCAGTTTCTCTTTAGTAAGGTACAAGTGCAGGTTGTGGTAGTTCAAGTTTTATAATTTCATTTAATGAATATTTCAAATACTCCATTTCAGTGCCTCAGATTGCACTGTTTCTGTGACCCTTATTTCCAGCTGTTTCCTAAATAAGTGCAAGACAGATGGAAAAAAGAAGCCTGTCCATGGAGTTTCTCCTTATGACCACATTCAATTTGGAGTTATTTTTGTTTATTGTTTCCCAATTCTTTTCTCACCAGAGTTTCCTCAATGCTTGTGATGGAAAGGTGAAATACAAAGTGCCCTTAAAAAGCAGGTGGGACTTTTGTGGCAGTGTATCAGGTATGGATGTAGTATTTAACTTCATCAAATGTTGAGACTGCTGGGTGTTTGCAGCAACAACAAACTCATCACTCCCCTCCAAATACAGTCAGAACTACCTTTTTTTGGCAAACCTCATAAAATAAAGAGACTTCAGACTTACTCCAGGGGAGTCCTGGGGCAGTTGGGAACGCTTCTGTGGACACCCCATGTTCTCTGGGCATCACACAGGGTAATGGCCTGGCTCTTGGCAAGACCTCTGATTCTGCATTACAGCAGGACCTGTCCCCTCTGCCTGACTCACACCTGGAGCTGCTTGAAGTGTGACTCACCTGGTGTTTGTTTGGGGGGTGGGACTCTCAGTGTGCTTGTTCAGTAGGTGGAACATGGATTCTTTCAAACCTGAAGGGACTTTCCAATATTTCTGCTTTGTGAGCAGGGGAAGCTGATGTGCAAGCTTGTTCCCTGGTGCCTGTGCTAAGGGCTGCCTGGGGAAATCAGCCCTGCTGGTGTTGTCATAGGGCAACTGCTGTAACAGGAGGTACCAGCTTAAGCTGAAGCTGCTCATACAACTTGCCAGTGGCTCAGCTGAAAATATAATAGGAGCTACTGATGTAAGGGTAAATTAACTGGGGTGTAAAAATGATCAGGCTAGTGATAAACCCACAGAAATGGTCTAAGAACTGAAAAAGATGAAGACTCAGCTGAGCAGCTCAAAAATTGCATTTCCATCTGGCTTCTGGCAAGTGAGATGGTTAAATAGTTAATAAATGTGCCAGGCTGTCAATCACATCCTTCTGTTCTTACCTTGGGGAAGTGGACAGATTGTTTAATTAGTGCTTCAAGGCCACAAAAGCCCTCTGGCTAGGGCAGCTTATGAAAAGACATGAAACTCAAATTCTTACTCCGTCTCCAAGGCACACAGAAAACCCACGTGTATTATAGATGAAGGGAACAGTTTACATCTGCATGCAAACATGTAATGTTTTTTAAAAAATTTTCTTGTTGCTTTTTCCTATGGCGTTTTCCAAAACCACAAGAATTTGCTTCAAGCATACAGGCAAATAATGACTTGTTTAGCATTTTGCACTGGTAGATGATGTTGGACTGAAACTAGCTTTGAAGAGAAATATGCAAATCTTTGAAGGTTTGCTGGCCAAATTTATTTTCAGCTGTTTACCTTTGTAGGCTATATTGTTTGTTGCTACTGAAATATAAACAATGTGCTTGTTACTGCCTAGAAAATAAATAGAAGGGCCAGCTGCTGCTGTGTTAAGCCTACATTTCTGACAGGTCAGCTGAGACTCAATGCTGAGAATGGGCAAAAAACTGTACGTTTCAAAAACACTTTACTGTACCCATAGCTTTCTGAGCTCATTCATTGTCTTCACACATTCAAATGAGGTGAGGAAAAGACTAAATGTGCATAAGCCTTTCAGGAGGTTGTGTGGAAGAAATGAGCTATGAGAAAATTAAATATGGCAAATGAAGCAGGCACAGATGTGTGAGTGGGAAGGATGCACAGGGAGGGTTTGCATTGCTGGGGTCCCACTGGTGACTAGGCTGTGTAAAACCGGTGCTGGTTATAAACCACCAAGGATCTTGTGTAACCCAGCATGCATTTATCCAGGACTTTGGACACAGTGGTAAGGCAGAGGAAGACAAAAGAGAGGCAAGTAACATGGCTTGGTAAGAAGAATAAATATCAACAGAACAACTTGGTAAAGTTCTCTGCTGGACAGGCATCTTCCTCTGAGATGAGACCTCTGGCTGCATAGCTCATTGTTGCAGTGGTTCAGATATCTGTACTATTCTATTCTTTGGTTATTTTAATCAGATTCATTCCAACTATTTATCACATCAGAAGAGCTGCAAATCTCCATGTCAAGTGTTCCAGTCTGATCATAGTGCAGGTGTTCAGTCTTGGACGCGTTTCTTCAGGGAGAAGATGTAAATGTTCAAGTGCTCGCTCAGCTGCCTACCCTAAAGAGAAATCAGAGATTAGCACCCTGTTTTGTATCTGCTTCACAATTCACTGCCTCTCCTCTCCCAGTAAGAGTAGGGGAACCCAACCACAGTCCTCACGTACTTGGGGATCCCTGAGTACACGGGGACCTGTAAGTATTCAAACATGACAGCTGTTTTCCTTACATTCCTCTTGCAACACACTGCTGGGAAGTTAAATGGCTACAGACTGGATTCACAGGTGACATAAGCTGTGATGGAGCTGGGCCCCTCTGTCAACTGTGAATTTTGACCCGGTATTTCCATTCTGACCCTCACCAACAGGTCCATGTCGATGCTCAGGTAGACTCTACCATGCCACCAATGTCTGCTGACAAAAGGCTGCTTTCAAAGAAAAATCCTTACATCCCACTGCTGTGGCTTAAATAAAAGAACACTGACCAGCTCCCTCTGAAACGAGACCTTTACCATGCAAGATGTTTTATCTAAAAGCTCAAGCCTTTAAAACAGTTGCTAAAGGATCATTTCACAATTTAGAAAAGTGGGCCTCAACAAAGTAAAAATTTAAGCATTAGTTCAGATGACAGTGACAAGACTGAGATGTAGCAGACACAAAAATGTGCTGGTAAGATTGAATGAACTGGAAAACTATTCATGTCACCAGCTTGAGAGATGCTAGCAGAGGGCCAAGAAAAAAATTGGGACAGCTATTTTGCCTGCAGATTCAAAGCAAAGTTGACCTTATTTTATTATT